AGTGAAAACATCTTCAAGTCACAACAGGCAGGCTTTAGACAGTGCTACTCTGTCAAGGAATGACACGCCACTACACATTACCGTAAAAGAGTCGGGACCTGTATTACCTGTGCTCGACAAAACTTTCAAACTTGGACTCGTCCGGAAAGGTATGTAGTCCCTTAAATCTATAAAAGCCTTTATCGGATAAAATTATAATATCTACATCTTCTAGTTGGTTTGAATTAGCGTCATTTTCAAATTTGCAACTGTATGATAAATATTGCTGGAGTTATTTGAATACTCCTGGAAACCGGTTTACTCCTTGCTCATGTATACAAGGAACTTCTTCTTACCGACTGCTAACTTGAATTTGTGCGGGAATTGTTTCTGCCGGATTTCCTAGAGCTCAGATGTATCCATCGACGCCGCAGTAAATTTCAAGTTAAGAAGGCGGCCTGTAGTGTCCATGTCTTTTCCTATGCTTGGGTAAGTTAATTATAGTTTACGAGTACACTAAATATAGCTTTTTAAAGTTGGTCACTGCTGTAGAGAGATCAGAATCGGCTATGGGATCACAAATAGTTCGACCGTTCTTTATCTGTAGAGAAGCGGATTCGAACTTAGACCTTCTTCTGTACAGACTAAATAGCCTATGCCCTAAAAAACCCACACATATTGGTAAAGATTATGACCCTACAAGTGTACCATTTGAACTAACAACAGGAGTTTGTGCATCTGAATGGGGACGGAGAATTTAGGTCAGTACTTGGGCAGCCAGAGCGTTGCGTTGAGTGTGTTTGACACAGATCAATGGATGTGTGGGAATGGCTTGAGAGTCGTAGGGGATAGGGGTACTGACTGTAAATATTGGTGTCTTAGTGCTGATGGGAGGGGGGAGAGAGATTGATATATGTGTGAGAGCGTCTATCTATCTCCACTATATATATATCTGACGTTCCATCTCTTGCACTAAACAGACAGATAAATGATGGGAGACATTGTCTCCTGGTCTTGAGAGTACACTCTGAGGAATGAAACAGAGGAGCAGAGGTGGAGTAGGCTGATGTGGGATGGTGACTGATGCTTATTCTGAGTCTTTCCTGTCAAGATGATACCCTCTTGGTGATGACTAATTCTGAGTTCTTTCTTGACAGGATAAAACCTTTGTGAAGAGCTGGCAGAATAATCACAGTCCAACCAACACCCACCAACCAACTATCAACCAACTACCCACCAGCTAACACCAGTGAAGGTACCTAGCATCATCATCATGGGGTGCCATATACCCCAAACATCCTAACAGTGCCAGAGCATGTGAGTGAACTCCAGAGCAGGTGAACAATTGCAGAGAGTATATCCATACTCAAGTATACCAGTCTTCAGGAGCTTGGTGGAGCTCAGAGACAGAATTGTGACCTGACCGGTGGGAGAGACTTGCTGAGTACCTATACAGTCTGTGTCCTCTATGGTGAGGTACTCCTCTACTACCTGATCCACTTGAAGCAGAATTACCAGAGTCAAAGACAGTCGAATCTCCAGGAGCTGAGGGAAGCATCAACAGTAGAACTAGGATAAGTGCCAGTTTTGATTTTATGTCATGCTATATTCCCCACAGCTACAATGGATTCCTAGGATGAGACAGTGTTACCTCCAGGACTTTCTGGCTGTTTAAATTTCTGTTGAGTCTTGTCATTGTGTTCTGGGATCCTTCCACTGAGATCTGGTGTCTACTTCACTATTTATATATATATATATATATATATATATATATATATATATATATATATATATATATATATATATATATATATATATATATATATATATATTGTATTGATTACATGCATTCATTTTTATGGCTGACTTAGGTGTCTCTATTTCACCTTTCTAAGTGTTTAGCATTGTTGTGTGTGTGTATGAATCATAAATATTATATGTGTTAACATGGTTATGATAATAAACTATCATAACCTGGGGGCTTTCTTTTTATAGTAATGGGGGTTTCCAGCCAAGTGTGCCTAGGAATATTGTTTACATATACAGATATATTTTGTAGTGCCAAAACTTGAGTTGCCCTGCTCCAGAAATAAGTTGAGCGTATATTGGCCACGGGGCATCCCTTAGAACAATACGAGCCAAACGACTCAACATAATTATTTCTGAGTGCTGTTGGTTCTTAAGGAGAAATCCTTAAATCAGGCACGTGACAGGAGTGATATGTGACAACTCGACAAAAGATCAGACAACCGACTTCAGACTACTTTCTTCTCTCAAGAAACTGAGGATGCCTTCCAAGAAAAGAAGATAATGCTCGTGTCATGGATAGATCTAAAGAAAGCCTCTGACAAGGTCTGGAAAGAAGGTCTCATGAAGAAACTGAGAGACTACAAAGTGAATGGGAATGTGTACACATAAGTTGAGTTGAGTTGTCAAGAATTGACATCACAGTACTCAGGGCATTCCCATGCGTGCTCCGTTCTCATTTTCAGCAGCCAGCGCAGAGTTCCAATACTGATCTGGCTATATGTCCGTTTTGCCTTTCCTCCTAGTGTAGTGAGCCACTAGACTCTCTGGTTGCACCCAGGTGCCTAATTCTCTTTAGGCTAAAATAATCTTGTCTCTTTACTAATTCCGTTGCTTGTTCCCAAAGGGCCTTGACCACATCTGCCTTGTCATATACCAGTTCACCACCCAGTGGTGCAGATTCAGCCAGTGTGTCTGCCTATTCATTATACACTACGACGTGATAGCCTGAAGTAAAGATGCAATGTATGCTCACTACCCGTCACCTTCCTAGTAAAGCTTGCCACTCTGCTAGAAACATCCCTATCTTCACCTTTCTCAGCATGCTAAAATTACGAAATGTGTATGCATTTTGTTCTCTAACCACAGGAGAGCTGTAGTTACCGCCTTCACATCCATTCTCATGCAAGATGTTGTGGTGTCATATGCTAGACTGTCTTGCACTAAAGATTTTCCATTGGCTTTCGCCGCTACGAACCTATCAGACATTTCTCTTTTCTCTCAGCATCGAACCATCTGCATTGATAATCAGATCATCTGGGCGTGAATTGTCGTGAATCAACTGTTTGAGTTCCACCTCCGTAGCACCCGTTGGGCACTCTCTGCACTCCTGGCCCACTGTGATCATAAACCTACACAGATCAGACTTTTCCTCTGGTACTCTGACTCACTTCTCCCCTCCCCCAATGTTCTTAAGCATGCTTACTTGTCTTATTGTGTCTTCTGCTTGAGCCATCCTCGATCTCCCCCCCCCCCCCCACTTTTTTAGCCTCTGACCCTTGCCTGCAGCCAAAGCTTTATACAGAGGGTGTTCTTTGTCTGCAGTGTATGACTTGGCCTACAGCACCGTTAGCCTATATGCAATAGTCGGCAGTGCAAGGATGTATCGCATGCACACAATCGGGGTGTCTCTTGTACATCCCAGGATCATCTGCATAGCTTCATTTTGTATGCACTCAAGTTTCTCTAGCTGACTCTTGGGGATAGTGAGTAACCCTAATCCATAATCAATCACTGAGATGATTAAGTGCTGGTTTAGTGTGAACAGTGTGCTTCATGTCCATCGCTGCCATAATCTGTAGTGCATTAAGACCTTGTTGAGCTTTTGTCACAACCCCCTCTATGTGATCCTTGAAAGACAAACTTCTGATAAAGATGATACCCAGGTACCGTAGTCTGTTGTCTCTTGTGATGTCTCTGCCATTTGTTTTGAGTCTAAGAATATCTGCTCTAACAATTCTGTTGTCCAAAGAACACCACTGAACGGTTGTCTCTTCTGGGTTGATTACAGCACTCATCTCTGTACACCAGTCGATCACCTTATCTACTGTCGCCTGTAAGTCCTGAGCTATCTGATCCCGATCTCTCCCCTTCCTGTATATCAGAAGATCATCTGCAAACGTCAATATTCTGCCAACTCCAGGTGTTTCCAGGTATGCAGTCTTGTTCATAAACACATTGAACAGCACAGGGGAAATTGCAGATCCCTGTGGTAGTTCAGAGGTCCATGAGCCCAGGCGAAGAGCTACCTGGCGAGTATACAAAGTGCTACTATCTAGTTCACCAACCAAGGAAAAGGAAATATAGCTCTAAAACAACCAGCTAACTCGCCCTACGTTTCTTTTTTCATTTCAGAGATTACATGAAATACTTGATGTCTGGTATCACAGATAGGCGTTATGTTAACCACTTGGATCTCTGTTGTTAGTTTGACTACTCTCCCATAGTGACCCTACTCAACGTCCCCAAACCAAAGAGTTTGCTGCTTTCAAGTTCATTTCTTTAGGATAGTTAATATAACAACTGCTTGGAACTGAAAGCTTTAAACAGAGAAGAAATGATTCGGCAGTAATACCAATGGCAGTAAAGCTTTAAGGAGAGAAGAAATTATTAGGCAGTGATACCAGTATGTAGATCTATTGTCAGACCATGTCTCTACTCACACGACGAATTTATGTTAATCAAAAACAAACGATTCAGGCTTGTTTAAAAACAAATATGTTTATTATTGGAAAACTATAACGCCTCTTATACACAGACAATACATATGTGGATTTCAAATAATATAAGTTGACAAATATCTCCCTGCCCGCAAATTAAAAAAAAAAAAAATTATTAAATAATCTTTGTACACACACCTCAAATTATGAATATCTTCACGTTGCACATTAATTAAAACATTAGTTTATTTACAAATGACAATATGAACATGTGTAATCACATATATGAATGCAAACTGTACAGTCGCGTTTAGCCTCTGCTGAAGTGACATGAACTGTGTACAACCCCTCACGTAAGAAACATTTCGGAGCTTATGAATTGTGGCGTGTGTTATATTCCTGAACGTTAGCGAATAACTAGCAGACGAAATTGACTGGGTAATCTATGAGCAGTAATATACCAGGGCTGATACCACTGCCAACATGCTCGGTTATTACACACCAGTATAATCAAATGCTTTCTTCCAAACACCTGCTGTACTTAGGGCACACAATTTAACATTGCGACACAATATTGGGCACAGCAATGATACAGCCATTATGATCATTTCTCACATTAATAAAATCATTAATGCTGCCGCCACCAATGAAGTTGCTGGTACCACTGCTGACAGTGTTGCTGCTAGCGGTAGGAGCCTCAATGATGTTTGGCCTGCTGGTGACACTCTGTTGACTGTTGTTGCTGTTTCTGTTGCTGCTGCCAAAGCCTGCGAAGGCGGCGTCGCTTGGAACAAAGTTTTGGAGGAAGGTCGGCACAAACTTATCCAACAGTTTCCCAATGGCGTCACACTCTGATGGTAACAAGCGTCCCCCACGCGGACTTATCCGGAAAGGTACAGTCTCACCACTTCTGACAACATTGCAAGCTAAGGAGAATCAAACCAAGGCATAAACTGTATAGGTGTACACAGACACTTCATGACAATATACAATCTAGTCAACACAGCAAGGACAAGTCAAAGATTCATTTCCACAATTCTAAACACTCTGCGCATCTGAGTAGGGAAATATTTGCTCAGGCCAATCAGCATCCGATTTGTGATTTGAAAAATATCAGACTGACCTACTTTACTTTTTTTTTTAAACTTTCCTGGCATCTATTTTAGGGTATCATGTGACTGTGATCTAAGGAGTGTTTTTTTTTTTTTAATATGCCTGAATGAAAGTATATGTCCACCATAGCGGTAGGCGAGTGAGCTAGTCACTGCACCACCGCTGCTCCTAACGCTTGCAATCTTCTCCTTCTTCTTCTTTCTCTCTCGTTACCTTATTGAAAAGCCGTCGTTCCTTTTTGTACGTAACCTTCCCCTGGCTCTCGTTTCATATCTTTCTTCAGGGTGACTTTCTGTGGCCGTTTATACCAGGGCATTCTCATCAGATAGTCATACCATATCATCTGTTGCTTTTTAATCAACTGTATGTCTGGTTTCAGTCTTGTCTTATCATTTCTTTATTTTGATTGAGTCTCTTCTTGTTACTCCGACAGCGCTCCAAGGATATCTCTCTTTTGATTTGGCGCTCATTAGCTGTAGTAAGGGCACATGTCTGACACTGGTAGTGTAGATACGACCCGAATGTAATTCTTATTAGACTGATTCTGTGAATAATGTGTGAAATTAGGTTTAGTATCATTCATTCGAAATAGGATTCAGCCACACAATTTGACGCAAATTAGGTAAGAACCAAGAGGAAAGAACAATAAAAGACATGGAAGCCAGTGTTGTAGACATAAACAAGGTAATCTGTGTGCCACTATGGAGATCTGGGACCAAAGGGCCGGATCAGACTGTGTCACTGTCAACTCAAAATGCATATATTTACGTTACTTCATTTATCGCCATGAAGATGGTCACTTCAGAAAGGAGCTCAGTGCCTGGCACTTCAAGCATCAATGGCGCCGACTACAGAAAAACCTCGAGGGGAAGAAAGCAAGCTCTCATTTTCCTATTCCCATTACAAACGTTTTAGGCCAGGAGGAGCGCTCAAGGTGTCTAATCCTTGTTTAAAAGCATATTAACAATGCAAAAAATGACATATAAATATAACGTTTCAAAAATAATATGAACTGTATAACCAAATACTTTTATATTTATATGGGAAAAGTGTGACGCTTGGTCCCATAACAAAACGTTTGGAAGACCTCACACCAAACTAAAAATATATTCTTCTTTGGGAGGATGCTCAGGGAGCATGAGTCCAAAGGTGCCGACCTCCATGTGCGGCTAAGTTTCACTTCCTGTATTGATGTATCGGGTGAAGCAGTCGGTGTCTCGAGTGGGGTTCTGGTGCTCCAATGCGTGGTAGGTGGGAGCATAGACCATATGCTCCATTCAAGAACATGGTTAAAGCTTTCAAATAAGAATTTACTGAGATTCTATGTGTTAGTTTGAAAGGTTTAGGTATCTCAGTCTAGCTGTAGATCACATAACACCATTTGTCAACTGCCATTCAAAGGACGATCAGACAAAAGGGAGAAACTTATACAGGGACTGCTAAATATATCAAAACAGTTATAAAAACAATCCTGTTTACGCACTTGCCCATGTACCTAACGTCAGTTATCACCAGTATCAACACTGGACAAATCCATCCATGCACCCGACCTCAGTTATTACCAGTTTCAACACCTAGACACATCCATCCACGCATCCGACCTCAGTTATCACCAGTTTCAACACCTAGACACATCCATCCACGCACCCGACCTCAGTTATCACCAGTTTCAACATCTAGACACATCCATCCACGCACCCGACCTCAGTTATCACCAGTTTCAACACCAAGATACATCCATCCAGACACCCGACCTCAGTTATCACCATTATCAACAGCTAGACACACCCATCCACGTACCCGACCTCAGTTATCACCAGATCCAACACCTAGACGCATCCATCCACATATCTAACCTCAGTTATCACCAGTATCAACAGCTAGACACACCCATCCACGTACCCGACCTCAGTTATCACCAGATTCAACACCTAGACGCATCCATCCACATATCTAACCTCAGTTATCATCAGTATCAACAGCTAGACACACCCATTTCCGTACCCGATGTCAGTTATCACTAGTATCAGCATATAGGCGCGTCATTATGTGACCTGCACCAAAGAGTTAACACGGAGCTTTTGACTCTTTGCATTACGCCTTACGTGATATGCTGTATAAACCCCTAATTCATATAAGCTGGCTTAATTATTATATTCGTCTAACTTTCAAAGGTAAATGCTTTTGTCTCACAATATTGTTATTTGAACAGCCATAGACCTCCACATCGTTTACTTGAAAGTAAATTATCACGTATTTGTAACAAATTAAAGCATCAGATGTTTGAGACTGCCAGATATTATTTACAGGCTTTCTTCTTAAAGTCCATGTCGATCTACAGCCTTCGGTCTCGTGAACAATCAGTCCTTTTTGATATAAATGATCCTCCATGCCATGATGTCGAACTGCCCATCATCGTCTCTCTCTATCTCCCTCTGCCTCTCCTTCCCTAAACTGTCCAGATTCGGCTCTCTCGATCTCCCTCTGCCTATCTTCCAATAAACTGTCCAGCAACGGCTCTTTCGATCTCAATCTGCCTCTCTTCCCCTCAAACTTTCCAGCGTCGTCTATCTCGATCTCCCTCTGCCTCTCTTCCCCTCAAACTTTCCAGCGTCGTCTCTCTCGATCTCCCTCTGCCTCTCTTCAACTCAAACTTTCCAGCGTCGTCTCTCTCGATCTCCCTCTGCCTCTCCTCCCTTAAACTGTCCAACTTCGGCTCTCTCGATCTCCCTCTGCCTCTCCTCCCCTAAACTGTCTAGCATCGTCTCTGCCACTCTTTCCCTCAAACTGTCTAGTGTCGTCTCTCTAGATCTCCCTTTGCCTCTTTCCCCCTCCAACTGTCCTACTGTCGCGATTTATTCCAGTTTTCTCACTTTCATCACATGACCACATAATTCTGACTGTCTTTTTCTGGTGTGGGCAATCTGTTCTCTTCGTGAGTCATTTTTTTTACCAACTTAACAAGATCGGGAGTACATGGTGTGAGATCCGTGCGATAGCGAAGGATAGCACTATTTGGCGTGGGTAGGTTGAGGACCTATGCTCCATTGAAGGGCAGAAGAAGTAGACAGGAAGATGGCTAGCCTTGACCTTCTCATACATACATTGTTTACTTCCAGCAGCAGAGTTCGGGAGCCCTTGACCTGGCACCAGGGGCACATTGCTGATGAAGTTTGCCAAGTTGGGCCCCAGAATATCGCGGAGAGATCCACGAATGAGGGTGGCGCTGCCATCGTTGTTGATTGGTGGAGGCAAGGAAGATGGTGTCAAGGGAGACAAGAAGATGAGGTTCACGGCATCATGACCAGACGCACTTGTTGCTGTGAGGATACAAACACATTATGAAAATCTGGCAAGTCAGCACTCATATCTGCATATCAGTGACATTTCACGTTAGTTTGAGGAACTGTCCCTTATGTGGAAAGTTAGGGTGGTAAAATAGACAGTTATGTAGAAAGCTAGCGTGGTGAACTGTCAGCATGTAGAGTTACTGTGGTGAATAACAGTTTATGGAGAGTTACGTTGGTGATTTGTCAGTTTATAGAGAGATGAAGCAGTGAACTGTCAGTTTATGGGAGTTACTATGGTGATTAGTCAGTTTATTGAAAATTCGTGTAGTAATTGTCAGTGGTCTCAGTTATCATAGCGTACCTGCAAATTTGATTTGATTTGATTCAAGAACCGACATCACAGCACTCGGGGCATTCCCATATGCGCTCCGTCCCCATCTTCAGCAGCCAGTGAAGAGTTCGGATACTAATGGTGCCAGTAGCATTTTTATTAAACGTCCGTCTTGCCTTTCCACTGAGCCTTGAGCATCTGCCAGAACATCTCGTCACCTCCAACTGCATCAATCTCACCAGACTGTTGTGATCCATCTGCTCCTCCCAACTGTACACGCTCTCCCACAAGGCACTAACCACGTCTGCCTTATCATGTAGCAGTATTCCACCAAGTTGCGCAGAGCTACCCAGTCTGTCCGACTGTTCATTTCCCAATACACCGGCCTGACCCGGTGAAAAAATCCAGACAATACTCCTCACCCGTGTCCTCCACAGCGAAGCATGCCACTCTGCACGAAGCATACCTGTTCTGATCTTCCTTAGCATGCTTTCTGAATTAGTTACAATCACGATGTGTGTGTGTGACGTGTTCTCTAGCCAGCGGAGAGCTGCAATGACCGCCCCCACCTCCATTCTTAAGCTGGATGTTGTAGTATCATATGCTAGGCTCTCCTGCACCAAACGTCGGCCATTAGCTTTTGCTAAGAAGCCCCAAGCACTTCTTTTGCCTTTTGACACTGAACCGTCAGTGTAAATGATCAAATCCTCTGAGCGAGCATTATCTTGAATTATTTGCTGTCGCTAGTATATACCGGGTTGTTTGTTCCCTCCCTTCCCCCTGCCTATATTCAAGTATATCATCCGCAAAAGTCAGTATCCTTCCAGCTCCTGGTGCTTCTAGGCATGCAATCTTGCACGTATACACGTTGAAGAGCACATGGCGGATCCTTGTGGCAGTCCTGGGGAGCCCAGTCGCAGAGCAAACCGGCGTTAATACAGGACAGCTGCAACCCAATTCACTAGCCATGGACTGACCTCCTTCTCCCTCAGTGCAGTTATTAAGATGTTGTATCTCACTCTGTTATAAGCATCCTCGAGATCCAGTCCTACCGCCATAGTTTCCTGTCTGTTCTGGAACCCTTCATAGACGTCAAAAGCAAAAGTGGCCGCAAATACCCAAGTGTCCTTTCCTGGCATGTAGCTTCCCAGACTTCTTGGGAGAAGCTTCCCCCTCTCCAAAAATTCTTGTAGCTTTACAGCAACTATCTTCTCCAAGACCTTCCCAGATGTGTTTTGTAAGATGATGATTCTAAAGCCACTAGGCTTAGAATGATCTTTTAAAGGTTTTGGTAGTGGGATTAGATAGCTGTGCACCCAGTCCTGCGGTACTGATGCTGTCTTAATACTCTGGTTAAAACAGTCGGCCATCTCTGCCAGGTCTACATCACTCAAAGCCTTCATATGACCATACCTGACTCCATAAGGCCCTGGTGCAGTGTCTTTTGCTATTTTCAAAATTTGTTTGATATCTTCCACCTGCATCATGACTTCATAATGCATATTCTTCAAGGTGCCAGCTAACTCCTTTCTAACTATATCCCTGATGCTACATTATTATGATCTGTCTGAGCTTTAAAACTATGGAGAAAAGCCTCCCCTTTCTCCTTGTCTGTTGTCACACACACACCATCGTCTCTACAAATTGTTCCGACTGTCATAGGCCGATCTTTTCTTTGTATCTGCCTTTGCAGTTTCCAGAATTTCCCTAAAGTTTTATCGCCTCCCATATCATTGACAAAAGTTTCCCACTTTGCTCCTTTGGCCTCTTCAGCACAGCGCTTGAAAACCTCCACCTTATCTTTTTTCACATTCTCCGCCATCTCCACTTCCTCTCGTGAGCTTGAGGGTGTCTGTCGTACTTTCTTTAGCTGCTTCACTGAGGCTCTCTTTGCCTTCCACGCCTGTTCTACTTCTGGGGTCCTCCGTGGGGCTGTGGAAAATTAGTTCTGGCAGTTCTGTTGCATGCATACCTGCAGAAAGATGTCTCAGTTATCATAGAATACCTGCAGAAAGATGTCTCAGTTATCATAGAATACCTGCAGAAAGATGTCTCAGTTATCATAGCATACCTGCAAAAGGATGTCTCAGTTATCATAGCATACCTGCAAAAGGATGTCTCAGTTATCATAGAATACCTGCAAAAAGATGTCTCAGTTATCATAGCTAACCCGCAAAAAAGCTAAGTGAAATAGTAATATCTAGGTATACACAAATAAAACATCTTAGTAACCAAGCCAACAGATTTTATTTTTTTTAATTATATATTGGAATCTATAAAAGCTGACACGTATCCAGTGAATTATCGTTGGAAAAAGTGCAGACTGAAGTCATTTCTTTGCTTTCGCAGAGAAAATATTGCCTGAGTTTGAGGGTTTAAGAGTGTGTTCTCATTCTGTTATAACTGGGTTTTTTCTCCCTCAAATATCCCACGATCTTACCACCTCAATCTTTAATTATTTTTCATAATCCTTGATAATAGGTTTACAGCCTATCTCGTACTTCACTTCACCACCACATTAATTGCATTTTAAATCAGTGGGTACAATAGAAAATATACCACAGAAGATTTTATCATATATAACAATCCAAAGAGAACATGCCAGATACGCCTCTTAGTTTCCAGACAGTTATAATATCCTATTGCCTTAACTGTTAAAAACACACCTGTATGTTGGTTGGCCAGAGCTGGTGCAAGGGGGATAAATCGGTTATTGATGTTGTTCATGTTGGCGCCAAAGTTGACTCGCCTTCCTGGCCTCCTCCTAGCGGTGACAGGCAGAAGTGGATTCCCTTGTACTTGAAATAGACGACAACAAATGTTTAAACTTATCGCATGAGTCAGCAACGGCAAATGTGTTTAACATTGCTTGACCAAGCTACTGAGAAATGTTCAGCACATTATAAGAACAAAGTATATCAACATTTAACAAATATTACATGAACAAAGGATTGCAAAATCTTTTAAAACACAACGTAAACAAACTTTGCCAACATCTTGAAGACATTTCATTAACAAACGATACCAACATGTTCAACATATTACTTGAACAAACGAATTCATTGACATTATTTCACAGAAACAGGTTTTGGTCTGTCGTAAAATTGTCAGCTGTGTTATTCTGAAGACTAATGCAGTGAATACATGATATTATCTCTAGCTGTGTCGCTGTTTGTGTTATAACTCAGTATTTCGGTATCTAAACTGTTCTGTCACAGCTGCTTCCATGGACACAGAACTGCGCTTCTAGTGGTGTACTGTTTGTGCTGGCACTTCTGACGGATGCTTTATGGACTTAATGCGTCGGTATGCTATTGGCTTTGCCAAGTTTGCGGTCTGTTTGTGTGGGTGTTTTTTTAGTACAAGGTACGGCGATTTGCATTTGGTTTGGTTTCTGCTGGCACAGGAACGGAGCAGTTCTGGGGTGACCCGTTTGCCGTGCCAGGGAACTACTATTAACTGTAAACTGAAATTGTCAGTCAACGTGGGTAAGTCGATTGACTTGTTACTAGGTATTCATTACATAAATCCTCATTAAAAAAAACTACATAAAATAGAGTTGCATGTGCTAGGCGTACATGAAAATTTCATTGATAGATACTACAGCACACCAGACAGGTTTCAGACAAGGATGTGTACCGTTCTCTAGCTGGCTTTCATCATACATTGAGCAAATATGAGATCTATAAATATATTATTCCGTGTACTGCAGGTGGTGATCACAAAACTATGAGTTTATGTTATATTGATGACCCTGCCTTGATAGCGAAACAGAGGCAACTACACAGACAATCCCGATATCGGGTAGCTGCCCAAAACTCGGGTGATACAAATAATCATTTCTTCCCTAAAATACAGAACACGTTATGTATGTAGAACGGAACTTGACAATATATGCAAGCAATGTAAATTAGTGAACAAAGAAAACAATACTTTGAAAATATAGCGCAATCCTATTAAATACCTTCAAAGAGCTGCAAAAGTTTCAAGGAAAAATCAGACGAATGCTAGGAATAAAGCCAGTCTTACAGGACATCAAAAAACATCAAAGGAAGTGGTCTGGACACATAAGAAAAATGCCTTGATACTATCTGTCACAGCGAGCCACACTGAAACCCTACAACGGATATAGCGGAAGACCTCAGAAACCGTGGAGTGATAGCGTTAGTAACGGCCAGAAATTAACATCAATCTAAATAGTGCTCTTGACAGAGTTGCAGAAAGTAAGTTACATCTCTCCCCGACACTTGAATAAGGCACAAGGTGGAAGAGAAGAAGAAGAAGAAGAAGAAGAAGAAGAAGAAGAAGAAGAAGAAGAAGAAGAAGAAGAAGAAGAAAAGAAGAAGAGAAGAAGAAGAAGAAGAAGAAGAAGAAGAAGAAGAAGAAGAAGAAAGAAGAAGAAGAAAGAAGCAAGAAGAAGAAGAAGAAGAAGAAGAAGAAGAAGAAGAAGAAGAAGAAGAAGAAGAAGAAGAAGAAGAAGAAGAGAAGAAGAAGAAGAAGAAGAAGAAGAAGAAGAAGAAGAAGAAGAAGAAGATGATGATGATGAAGAAGAAGAAGAAGAAGAAGAAGAAGAAGAAGAAGAAGAAGAAGAAGAAGAAGAAGAAGAAGAAGAAGAAGAAGAAGAAGAAGAAGAAGAAGAAGAAGAAGAAGAAGAAGAAGAAGAAAAAGAAGAAGAAGAAGAAAAAGAAAAAAAAGAAAGAAGAAGAAGAAGAAGAAGAAGAAGAAGAAGAAGAAGAAGAAGAAGAAGAAGAAGAAGAAGAAGAAGAAGAAGAAGAAGAAGAAGAAGAAGAAGAAGAAGAAGCAGAAGAAGAAGAAGAAGAAGAAGAAGAAGAAGAAGAAGAAGAAGAAGAAGAAGAAGAAGAAGAAGAAGAAGAAGAAGAAGAAGAAGAAGAAGAAGAAGAAGAAGAAGAAAGAAAGAAAGAAGAAGAATCCTAATCTTTTGGAAGTGACTAAACGTTGGATATGAAATGAAGGCCATGCGCATTTTTTTTTTTTCAAAATTGTCAAAGAAAATAAATTGAAACTGCTAGTTTCAAGGTTATAAAATACGGAGGGGGAGAGAGAGAGAGAGAGAGAGAGAGAGAGAGAGAGAGAGAGAGAGAGAGAGAGAGAGAGAGAGAGAGAGAGAGAGACAGAAAGGAAAGTCTGCACAGCTGTCGGTAATGTCACAGGGCTACGTCAAAATATAATGCAATATATTTGACTAGATCTGAGGAGTGCCGTCATGGCTGAGCGAGTGGATACTCCATGTTCAAGATGGTAATGATAGTGGTGGCGATTTATCATATTTAGCTTTAATGTATGTTAAATTGTCAACATAAAACTTGATAAATAGGGGCTGAAACTTAGTATGCAAACTAATAACGTAAGAACACTTACGTACGTATACACAATTGCACACAGACACACACGCTGGCACACACACACACACACACACATATATATATATATATATATATATATATATATATATATATATATATATATATATATATATATATATATATATAATACATCATTGAGAATTGTGTTGTGCATAAAAGCGAACAACATCAGTCATAAAGAATATGGTTATTAGAAGAAGCATCTTACTGGTGTTGCCAACAATGGCTGGCTGAAGATTTCCTGTGAGAGAATCCTGCAGGAAGACAGGGTTGCCTGTAGCTGTGACCGCAAGCTGACCTGGCAAATATTCACAACAAGAGAGAGCTGTCACATTGGTTTATACACTTTAAGTCTCTCTTAACAGTGAGACAGTACACAATATGGCACAGTGGTTACATATATGAATAGACTACATGTCTCTCTTAGGGATGAGACAGTTTACGTTGATACATACACTACAAGTGTGCACACGTGTACTTGGTGCACATACGTTTCCAACTAGTATCTTCCCTCATCACCCGTTGGGTAGCTCCAGCACTGTTTAGGAGACTGGTGACACTCAGGTGTGGTTGAAGACAAGCCGGTAAAAGGAAAACAACTGAAAAAAACTTCAAGAAATCGATACAGCTACCAGTGAGGAAAAAAACAGTGCCCCAACTATTAGACAGTACAATGCCAGAGGTGCAACACAGCTACTGGTAGTCTGGTAGTCTTAGTTTCAGCTTCATAGCAAACGGGTCGCCCCATCTTTGCTCCGCTCCTGTGCCAACGAAAAAACACTCAGAATGTTTATCACAGTCCCTTGTGGAAAGATTGACAGACTGCTGTCTCAGCATATCTAGCAACACTCGCATTAAAGCATATGGTAGCCATCCGAAGTGCTAACACAAACAGTCCAACATTAGAAATGAAGTTCATCATTGATGATAGCAGAACTTGTCGCCAACAGATCAGCAGTTGCCCACGCGATCAATTGTAATCTCATCCGGGCACCGCCAACATTGACGACCGGCATCACGCCATTTTCTGAATCTCCAATTCACACCACGTTGGTCACAGTCGAAAAAAACATTCCAAATGCAATCCGCAGCTCACAGGGTCACGCCATGCATTCAACTCAGAAGCTGGGCGACGAAACTATATCCAGTCTACAAATGGAGCAAAAATACTTCGGCCACCGTCCGGCAGAAGCAAAAAATTGCCTCTGTTTCGAACAGCGCCGCTGTCTAGCGTCCATTTTAACCGGAAGCCGCAACACAGCTACACTCGCAAATAGAGGCGGACGAGTCAATGTCGAGTGTAAATGCGATAACTGCATACTAAAGATGGACGGAGTAAGGCTACACGTCGTAGAGGACTGGTCCCTCCATAAAGAAGCCATTTAACCTTAGAGACTTAATTCTTTCTCGAGGACAGTGATGCAAGAATTTCTCGAGGAATGTGATGCAAGAACATGAGTGGAGTCCCTCTCCTCACCCCCCCCCCCCCCTCTCCCCTTTCCCAAACTTGTATCTTTCTAATTTGTGTGTTTTCTTCCCATTTCTTCGTTTTCACTTTGAATAAACTTGTTGAACGCACTCACAAACAACATCAAAATAACACTTACAAACGGCAACGAATGTAAAACAAACTTTAAAAAATATGATAACATAAAAATCTCTTTTTTTTTATGTTGGTCCTTAGAACCGATAACCATCAGTCCAGGATTGCCTCAAGGTTCTCCGCTGTCTCCAGTTCTTTTCAATGTGTACACAGTGCTGATAACTGAGCAGCAATGGTTCTTTCGTAATAAAACAGCCTAGATGCCGTCATGGGTACAGTCTAATATTGTATAGGCAGGCAAGACCGGGTTTCCCGGCTTTGTGGTGCTTTTAACTAAACTAAACACATAGAACTGGATCTAAACCCAACCCACCTACGTCCCACTAGAGAGTGCAGCCTAGGTCCCACGACTGCATGCAGCCTAGGTCCTATGACTGCACGCTGCCTATCTACCATCCCCTGAAATATTGGACTTCTGTTTTAGGTGAATAAAAACAACAGAACATCAGCAATTGCACGGGAGTGGCAGGACCTTGTCATTTGCTGATGACGTCTTAGTATATCGACATGGAAGAGATCGTCAAGAGATTGCCAATTCGTTGCAGAGTGAACGTAATCGCATCTTCTCCTGGTGTGCAGATTCTAATGCTCATGTCAACCCTTCAAAGGCCTCAATAACGTTGTTCTCCTCAAACACACAAACAATGAAGTCAGACTTATCAGCAGTGGAAACCAGCGGGGAAATTTTGACGATAACAAATTTGATGACATACATCGGATTGAGGTTTGATCGCAGCCTTACAGATATCCATCCAGGAGAGGAATGGATTCCGGCGTCTAAAGCGCCCAATTTAACTTTCTCCTGTGTCGTGACGCTTGATAGAAGTTGTCGGGAGCAAATTCCGGCTGCTGTCAATGCCGAGGTATGCGCGCTTATCTGTGACAAGTCAGATGAGGCTGATGTGCTGATCCTCACAGACAAGTCCGTTATACAAGGACATAAGTGTGCACGGGCACACAGCTCGCTATTCAGACAGAACAGTTCAAGAAGCCAGCTGTGACTTCTTTATCACTACCGGCAGTATGATGATGAAGGTGATGGCGGTGACACAAACTTTAATGTAGCTAGAATCACAGGGCTATTCCCGTGTGTGTGTGTGCTAAGTGATTCTATGAGCATGATCCGGCGGGTCGAGACAGGCTGGTTACTCAGACAGTGGGTTGAGCCATTGCACACCTCCCCTGTGTGTGCAGTTAACTTCATATTTGACCTAGGGTATGCAGGTGTTGTTGGTAATGAAACAACTGACAGACTGACAGGTGCCGCATTAATTGAAGATATTCGGCCCATGGATCACGCAGATATTGCCTTTGCCCTTAGAGAGATAGGACATTCCAAGAATTGTGGAAGTAACTTGTCCACATCACTGCTAAAAATACAAGAATTAGGACTACAGATCGGCACAGCCAGGCATAATAAGCACCCCAGACGCACACGAAGTCGTGTCAGTCAGCTTAGGACTGGCACTATTACCTTCGCGACGCTGATGAATATGTTGAGAGGGGAATCAGAGCACCTATGGATGTGCCAGAGAGCTGTGAATATAATCCAACTCATAACTTACACTACAAGTCGCTCTTAGCGGTGATACAGTACGAAACACGATACAGCTGTCGCATAGATGCATACATTACATGTCTCTCTTAGCGGTGATACAGTACGAAACACGATACAGCTGTCGCATAGATGCATACATTACATGTCTCTCTTAGCGGTGAAACAGTACGAAACACGATACAGCTGTCGCATAGATGCATACATTACATGTCTCTCTTAGCGGTGAAACAGTACACAACACTATTTATACGATAAAGCGCGTGACTGTTTTCACACTCAACAAATAACTGACCAAATTATGGTTCAACAAATGGGAAACAATGGATTAAACCAGATTTATGATGGACAAACAAGTAGTGGACAAACATCGAGATTGACTAAATGATGGAGAAACAGATGAGACTGGCTAATTGAAGGACAAACAAATGAGACGGAATAATTGATAGATAAACAAGTGAGACTGACTGAATCTGTGTCCATGTGTCCACTGAACACCTACCAGTCTATACCAGAAACTGAGTAGGCAACATGAGCCAGACGGAACCGCATCGATCCTAATGCTTCAGTCTTAACTCCTGCTGTCTTATCATGATAAGTGACTAATTTGGACTGGCTAAATATACAACCGTGTATATCCTGTGGCCAACTTCCTTCTGGTCGGCCCAGGCTTCTCTTCTCAGTCGCCATGTCCTCTGATACTTTTCTTCTCTCTCTAAGCCACTACGGTGTTTGATATGGCTCAAGTATTTCAGTTTCCGAGAGAATCTGCTTTTTTAAACCAATGTTCTTCGATGTCGGGATCTTTTAGAGTGTCAATGTTTCTTTTCTTTTGGTCTGTAGTATTCCGGAGATCCTTCTGTTGCATTCTAGCTCAAAAGCTTTTAGTTTGTTTATTAGTTATTGCGAGTTGGTGCACGACTCACATCCGTGTGTTGTTACAGGGAAGATGCATGTGCTGAAAACTGACTTCGGTTTGCTTGCTGGTACTTAGCCTTAGACTTTCGGTACTGTTTTAACTGTAAACTGTTATAAGTAAAGTTGTCTCACCTGTGGTTGGATTCACTGACACCTGAGCAGGTGTCACTTGCTGTCCCGTGACAGGATCAAGAAGTACAGCCGGCTGTCCTGTAGCGATGTTCACAAACTGACCGTTCATCATCTGGACATTAGGGACGTTTACGGTGGGGATGTTATTATTTCCACTTCCGGTGAGGGGATTATTATTTCCATTTCCGTTGAGCAGAGAAAGTAGGACCAGTTGTTTAATTATATCGTCCTTGTCACCCTTGCCCTTGGTTTGCTCTGAAGATAGAACATGAATGTGAATATGAAAGACTTATATTCAATTAGTTCTACCTGAAATATTCAACACTTTCCTTTTCTTCTTCTGGATAGTACCTGTCGTATGGCAAAGATCATCATGTGGGGCAACTATAGCTTGGCCACGGTGTATTCAAGTGTTCACCTTCTCGCCCCGTGATCATTCTGGTGCCGGTAATCGTTAACAAATATTCTTTTTTTCTATCCTAGACCTCCCCATTTCCCTTTTTATCTGCCCATGGTATTGTCATGACATCTCTATAAGAAGTCCTCTCTAAATATTCTCATATTTTTTCACTAATCGACTAACTGTCGATAATTCACTTTCGTGCACCACGATTAACTACATAAATAGCTTTTAAGAACGCTCACCTCCAATAGCAAATGAATAAAACAGAATATTCTTTACCCTGGGAAATGCTGATTCTGTTTCAGCTGTCCACATTTAACATTCATGATACAACTTGTATCTGTTGTATAACTTCAACTTAACATTATTGAAAACAGTGAGAAACACTACAAACATAGCAGTAAGGCAATATCCAAACGACATCGGCTAACTTTAAATCAACAGTAGTGTTCAGCATGACTAGCAAACATGCCCTATGTGCATCACAGCAACAGTATGGAAAACTTCTTGCAGGAGATCATTAGTAAATATAATCGATGTGCCTATTAAAAAGGCATTCCTCTGTAGAGCCTGTGATTTGCTGGCAGTATCGATGTGCCCATTAGAAAAACATGCCTCTGTAGAGCCTGTGATTTCCTGGCAGTATCGATGTGCCCATTAGAAAGGCATTCCTCTGGAGAGCCTGTGATTTCCTGGCAGTATCGATGTGCCCATTAGAAAGGCATTCCTCTGTAGAGCCTGTGATTTGCTGGCAGTATCGATGTGCCCATTAGAAAGGCATGCCTCTGTAGAGCCTGTGATTTGCTGGCGGTATATCACTAAAAGGGAGTGGCCGTGGCTAGAGGCCCGCCTGTGAATCGGAAGCGTCCTGGGTTCGCGTCCTGAAAGAGCAGGACTGTCTTTTTCTCTAAAAATGACCTTGACTCCTAGGTCGACTCAGCTTTTGAGTGGGTACTAGATGCAGTCCTGGCAAGTAATGGCGGCTGTCGTGTTGCTGAACAGTTCACCCACCACATGCCGATTGTTTTATAAAAATATATGTCTAGCCCTATATCCCCAAAACGACTAGAGGTGTGGAAAAGGGACCTTTACTGTATACCACTTAAAGCACAGAGATGATCATCAGTCGACCTCAGGTGAAGACTGGGGAAATCTGCTGCAATGGACAGGAGTTTAGAAACCATACAGATAATTTCAAGTAGCTTAACTGGATAGTTGTAACTACTTCACACTCTGCTGTAAAACTGTTAACAATTGTTTGGATCAGTATTGGTCGTAATGGTGTGACAAATAGGTCTGCGATCACGTTGAGACACAGCTAATACATTATGCCTCATTAAAAAAGGCAGTCTCCTGCACAACCTAACAATGATCTAGATAAATCATGGCCAGTTACTGTCATACCTAGACAAAAGATGGCCGACATCAGTCGCGAACAGTTGGCAGTAGAAATGAGCACTTTTCCCATTACAGTACAAAATATTTACCTCCTTTTCTATTTCCTCCAGACTTCAAACCGGACAGAAGCAGTGACGTCATCAGAAGCTGTTGCCCACCACTGGCCCCACCCAGCAACATCAAGGGAAGCAGAGAGCTGATGTCCCCCAGTACCTCTCCCTTGGCTTTTGTCTTTGAGTCCCGACCCAGATGATTGAAGTGAATGACACCTAGCTCTTCGTCTGATATCTGGAGGAGTTGATGAGCAAGGGTAGACAATACATGATTGAAGTGAATGACACCTAGCTCTTCGTCTGATATCTGGAGGAGTTGATGAGCAAGGGTAGACAATACATGATTGAAGTAAATGACACCTAGCTCTTCGTCTGATATCTGGAGGAGTTGATGAGCAAGGGTAGACAATACATGATTGAAGTAAATGACACCTAGATCTTCGTCCTATATCTGGAGGAGTTGATGAGCAAGGGTAGACAATACATGATTGACAGTACTGTCTGGAAAACATGAAAACTTGAATACGTGTACACGTGGTTGACAGGACAATGATAATATGTGAATACATGGTTGTTGAAAAGACCAGAAATAATACATGAATACATGGTTGACAAGACAATATGTAATACGTGAATTCAGGGTTGACAAGACACTGTGTAATACGTGAATATATGACTGACAAGACAATGTATAATATGTGAACACATGGTTGACAAAACAGTAACAATTTACATTCTATTACATGGCCGACGTTAAAGTTTGGAATGTGTAAATACGTTGTGAATACGTTGTTGAGAATAAAATCTTGAAACATGAACACATGAATGTCGAAACAATATAAAATAAGCGAATATGTGGTTGACAATACAGCCTGTAAAAAAACTTGATATGGCTGAAAAAGTGACCCTAATGATGACATCACAACCCGGAATACGTGAATACATGGTTGACAATTAAGGGCAGATGTAAGCACCAATATGTGCAGATACATACCAGCAGAGATATGGACACATTATTTGTATCAGTTTATGATTGACAACAGACAACGTTCACTGTGACATTTCAACATTCAACACTCTCTGCTTGTACTTCTAACAATTATAGATATTCCCAACAACTGGGTCACCAGCTGACAGTTACACCCCACACCACATTCTCACCTCGTTAGCTGCTTTATAATTGGCGCTGGTTTTCAGCTGTTTCCTGCGAGACAAAAACATGTATCATTATGTGATCAGCTCTGATTATGTCTACAACTTTTAAACAGAGAATCAAAGATACCAAACAAAATACATTTTTTGTCAAAGAAGCAACTATTTACATAATTCGGCATCTACAAATGTTTCTGCTACAGCGGTTCTGTACAGTGTCTCTCATGGTGACAAGCTTCATTCACAGAAATGTAAAGTGGAATGATCATGTTACTTACAGTTTATATTTTTGTTTCTTCTAATTTACAGTTATTCACTTGACATGTCGATAGTGATGATGTTTGTATCATAATCGTCTAAAACGTTTCTGCACTAGTAAACATTTCACCTTTCTGAATGTTTCTAATTTGTCTTCACAACGAGATTTATTCCTTTCCTTGTCCACTCCGTATGTGGTTACCTCGGTATCCGTAGTTATAAAATAGTTGTAAATACATTGTTGTAGCTCTCATCACTCACGGTACTTTCAAGGTCAGTGTGTCCTTGACATCCTGTATCCTTCTTTGCGCTAGTCGACCCCTGCATTGTCTTTCAGGAACTACAGCCGTTATTGCTTGCCTATCCATGCAGTCATGGCGTTTTGAGGAAAACCATTCTATCTATGAGGCGGGGGGAAAACCCACCTGTGCAAACTCGAAAAGTACAGATAACTGGTGGCCATATATATATATATATATATATGTATATATATATATATATATATAGATAGATAGATGTCTAACACTATAACCTCAGCACTTGTTGCAAATGTTGCAAGGCCACCATTTCGTCTTGTCCGATGAGCGCTTCAGGAGAAGTCAGAGGCCTGGGAGTCACGACCAAGGTCGGCCCACCCTGTGAGATCGTCTAAGAGGATAATGGTCCAAGAAAAATGGGCCTAACCTACTAATGATCAGTAGTTCCTGCTGTGCAGGCTCCACCCGTATAGTTCTTCTTATTGTACATGGCTAGTCCACAAGACAACCCGTACAGGCTGGCGACGGTCGGGAAAGATCTTTTGACTCTGGCCCCTGACCTTGATTTTAGCCCAACGACCGGACTAGCTGTGTACTTGTGGGAGAAGTTTCACGGGTCTAAGAACGGACGCCAGAAAAAGAAAATGCGACTGTGCTTCACGTAGTAGGCGTCAGCGGAAAGCTACTTCAGTAGCTCGTCAGACGCCAGGACACGACAGGTATGGTTAACTCCACATACAGTTTATTAATGTTGAACTTAAGAAATCGACGTTGCAGGATTCTTTGGTATGATCCAAGATAATCTCCCCACGTTACACACTAGATCACTGCTGATGTGTCGAACTCCAGTCACTCGACCTTCGCACATAGCTGGGGGTGGGGGGTGTTCGGCAATGCGTTAATATCGTTTGTTGTGCATTAAAGGAGGCCAGCGCTTTTAACACTACAAAAACATTTACAAACTAGTTCTAACCAAAATTCCCATAGAAAGTGCTGCAACCTATGTCACAGGCATTATCTTTCTCGGAAGAAAAACGTAAATGCAAGACAAGCCAGAAAGGATAACATAGCAGTAACCCCTGTACAGAAGACGAGTTTAAAAACTGTATCAATGAAATCGACCTAGTTCGACTGGGGAGATCATCGTGGATCTCACCGACTAGTTAACACGGTTAGGTGACATAATTTACGCTCACTGTGCCCGCAAGATCGGCCCAGTTGAGAAGAAGAAGCTGGGCGTTACTCATGAAAAAAATCAGGAGGCAGAGAAACACAGAGAAGTTTAGGACAGGCACAAATACATTATGAAAATGGTTCAAATATGCTACAGGCAGCGCGTGGCTGCAGTTGCCAAGGGCAATGTGTAAAACGATGCCTCTTTCTTGGTCTTAGTCGAAAAAGTTGTGAAAAGAGCCAGCGGCAAATCTGCCCTAGGACCCATTGGTGTCCCGTACGTGGTGTACAAACGCTGTCTGGAAGGCCTCCGATAGCTACACCGCTTGCTATGGATTGCGTGGAACCGAAAGTATATATGTAAGGAGTGGCAGAAGGCTAGCGAAGATTACATACCAAAAGAGACAGACTCATCTGATCTATCCCAGTTCAACCCTATCTCGATGTTAAACGCCCTGGGTAAAATCTCAGTGATGACACGCAGACTTAGACAGTATTTAATGCAGAATAAGTACACTGACACATCGGTGCAAAAAACTGGCATCCTGGACGTCACGGGTGTCTGGAGCATGCGCCCAGGATCTGGAAGTGTATTCAGAGTTAAGTCAGAGAAAACAGAACTGAACATAGTATGCTTGGATCTTGAGATTTCCTTTGGGTCGGTACCCTATAACTGTTATGGCAGGCCCTTCGCAGATTCGACGTACCGACACAGATCACCGCCATGATCGAGCAGTATTTTTCAAAGTTCGTTTTATACTTTTCTACCCCTACCTTCATTACGAGGTGGGCTGAGCTCCAGGTTGAGCTCCGGCGTCGGTCAGGGCCTTCACATTGGGGTCAGCTTCTCTGGGCCATGTGCGTGTGTGTGTGTGTGTGCTTGTATGTGTGTGTATGTGTGTATAAAACACCACAGTCTCAGCACTCGTTGCAAAGCCACCATTTTATCTTGTCCGACAAGAGTAGCATGGAAAATCCGAGGCCTGAGAGTCCAGCTCAGGTCGACCCACCCTCTGAGATCTCTAGGAAATACGTTACATCTAAACTATCTGACCTATAGGAAGTTCACGGGGAACGAATAACATTTATTTTCAAAGGGTTTAAATTGGGCACGCAGGCCCGTCTGACATTCGGCCCTTCTTAGCACTCATTTTTCAGAGTACCAATGCCTGTTATCAGAAAGCTACACAAATAGACAGATGGCATCAGACGTCGTAAGAGACATTTAACATTGATAAAGTCCAGTGAGAATAAATATGGTGACCCTATGAGTCTGCAGGTGTTGTGTAAGATTTTTGAGATTAAACATCTGGGGTATATTCCACGTACATTTTACATAACTTACATATTTATTGTGTGTTGTACATACATTTCATTATTTGTTTCAGTATAGAAATAGGCCTAATTTGTAGACTGTCTCTGACGTCACAACTCTTTAAGAATTTAATATTGTTCAGTTTCGAGACTGTTGCAGTATGATATGTTAAACCTTGCACTAATGTGGGACACATTTTTGTTTTTTAAAAGTCCCACCTAGGTGTCGTGGGTGCCGTAAATAAAATCTGCGGGTTGAACAAGGTTTCTGGGATATGCGCCCAGGTCGTCCGAATAGTGGCATTTTGTGTCACCAGGTATTTAGCGCTTGTCGTGCAGTCCTGGTGGGGTTGAACGTCAGTCACTCAGTCGGGACTGCAGACAACGACCAACATGCGTGAAATTAAGAACTTCGCGAAAGTCAGGCATGATGACATCGTAAACCAGCCTGCTGCAATCTGGCAACGGTTTTATCGAAATGTAACAAGTCAGAGGGTTCGGCCATGCCAAATAGCATTCTTTACAACTGAAAATTGACTGATCAGGAAACAGCGAGTGCGGGGGTTCTCCTCGGCGAAGAGGTCAAACAATTTGGCTCGCGCTTTGGAGGTCATAGGTTCGTTTCACGGCTGCGTAATTCAGTTTACAAGTGCTATTTTTACAGGAACAATATGGGGATCGTAGGAGCTACGGTGTTCGTGCTTTTTGTGACGCTTCCGGCAGGTGGCAAGCCATTGTGCAGAGAGAGAGAGCGAGATAGAGAGAGAGAGAGAGAGAGAGAGAGAGAGAGAGAGAGAGAGAGAGAGAGAGAGAGAGAGAGAGAGAGACCGAGCCGTATGAGAGAAAACACTGTGACAGAAAGTCAATTCTCTCGACTTTAAACCTTTAACTTTTTTTGGGGCAATCCAAGAGACAAAACCTGGAAGCTTTGGATAGAAAGAAAAAACAATAAGAAGTAGCAAACGTCTTTTAAGCATTCACAATACTGAACATAAAGCGATTTCTGTCAACTATACTATACTGTGGGGAAGCTAGATCAGAAATAAGGCAGACAGTCAGACAGACAAAACTCACATAAATATGGAGAGGTCTGAGTAATTTCACACACAACAGTGCTTGAATGCCGCTACAGACATGGAATGTAAACAGATATTCTTGCTACATTAATTCAGCACGGCACAGATGATGATGAAGATTACGTTGCACATGTACCATTTGATGACCAGATGATATGTTGTTTCTTACTTGTTCTTGTTGTTGTATTTGTTATCCACTGAGACCAGATGTTGCACGCGGGAATTCCCTTTGCCGCTGTTGTCTTCGTAGTTGTAGTCGTAATTATTGTTGCCGTAGTAGTAGTCATATTTGTTGTCGTAGTCGTGCAACGGTCGTTTATCTTTGTAGGAGTCACTTTTACCGCCATCAACATAATAATAGTACACGTTCTTTGTCTCGTCCTTCTTGACGCCCAGGCCCTGGGTCTTCTTGTCGTTGTCTTTAATGTCATCCTCATAATAATAGTAGTAGAAGCGCTTACTGCTGGCCTGGTCTGTCTTGTCTTTCCCAGACACGTCTTGTTTGAAGCTGATGACACACAGTCACACACATATATTCATGTGCTTCATAAACATGGTGGTTAAGTTTAATTATCAGACTCATATCTGTGTGTCTAAACTGTATATGTTTGTGAAGTACTTTCCTTTTTTTTTTTTTTTTTTTGACAGAATTTTCATCTTTCAGACATGCATTTTCATCTGTCTGACAAGATTATCATCTTTCATACAAGCATTTCCAATTGTCTGACAAGCGTTCTCGTCTTTCATTCAAGCATTTCCATCTATCTGACAAGCGTTCTCAGCTTTTATACAAGCATTTCCATCTATCTGACAAGAATATTCATCTTTAAAACAAGCATTTCCATTTGTCTGACAAGCAGTTAAATTTATTTATCAAGTCGTGTGTCTATATAACAAAAAGTAATGTCTAGATAACAAGTAGTGTGTCTGTCGGAATATAAAATACCTACATTTGATAACCAAAAAATAATATTTATAGCGCGACAATGTTCTCAGTAATATAGTTTATACATTAAAGAGAATGTTTTGTGACGTCATAACACACAAGGCGTGCGTCACATGAAGCATTCAATACAAGGTCAAATGTCACTAGAAAGTTGATTGGAAGAAACGAGCATAGATATAGAACGAAGTTGTCCACCAAAGTCATTGTCAGCGGTTAGCTGGGTATTTATCTCTCTCTCTCTCTCTCTCTCTCTCTCTCTCTCTCTCTCTCTCTCTCTCTCTCTCTCTCTCTCTCTCTCTCTCTCTCTCTCTCTCTTTCTGTCCGTCTGTCTGCCTATCTCTGTCTCTGTTCAATACTTACACAGGCCGACTCTTCTTGATGATGACCTTTTTTACCGTCTGCACCTGCGTCTTGTCGTCGCTGATGGTGGAGCTACGGCTGGTATGTGTCTTGTCGCTGGATTCAGTCTTCTTGGTCTGGTAGGTGGAGTCCTCTTGTATCTTACTCTCTTTGCTCCCTGTGCTTTCCTTAAGCGCCTGATCTCCTGACTGCTTAATCGTCTGGTCGTCTACTTTCTTGAAGAGGAACACCGGAGACTGGTTGGGACCAGCATGAAGCGGTACGAATGGCTGGTACAGTGGTGACTGCATCACTGGAACCATCGGGAAATGCATGGCACCAACTGGCAGGAAGGGAGCCATCATGTGATGATAGGGGGATGTTAGCGGGTAGTTGGACGACGATTTTTGTGACGACCTTGACTGGTAATGTTTATTGTATTTGCTATTGTCCTTGAACATGTGTGAATCGGTGTCAACATTGGACTGACTGACGGTATCCTGACTGTCCTCGTCAGTGTCTTCATACTCAGTGGGGTCTGACTTGTGTGACGTCATCTCTCGTGGATGGGATATGGACTTAGGTTTGGTTTTATATTCCCCATCATGGTGGTAGTCCGGTTGATCTGCAGACTGGTAGCTGGGTCCTTGCTTCAACTTCTTGCTTGTCTTATAGCTAGTCTTGTAACTGGGTCCACCCTAAGTAGGAAAATAATGAGATAAGAGTACACCATATTATTTGATTTCAGAAAATAATACAAATACTGAAGAAAAAAAAATAATATAAAATGGAAAACACGACCTATAGAGACATTCAACTCCGGCGTTATGTTCTGCTTGTTTCGTCCACTTCTGGACTGTGGTCTTCATCCACGAGCTGAGCTTTGCGTTCACATCCGTTTTGTACATCTGGCTTTTTTGTATGCATACTGCTGGTTGCTTGCCACTCAGACAGATGTTGTCTGACTGTGAAGTACTTACCTGGAAATGTTCGCATCCCACCACATGTTTGTAAGGGGCAGTGGTTCTATTCGTTTTGTTTTTTAATTCTCCAAATTAGAGCGTCGGATCCCCCACGGTGAGCCAAAGAACCCAAAGGAAAGATTCACTCGGTGTAAACACAAATATTTCTCAGAAGACATTTTTTCCTTGCACCTAACTGTGACTACTTCTAGTTTGCATAAAACATAAATATCGGTATATGTTTTTTATGTCGACTGCAATCAGGGTCAAGGTTCAGTACAGTGTAACTTGTCATTGGCCTACCATCCGCCTACCATCGGCCTGCCATTGGCCTACCATTGGCCTACCATAGGCCTGTCATTGGCCTACCATAGGCTTGACATTGGCCTACCATCGTCCTGTCATTGGCCTACCATCGGCCTGTCATTGGCCTACCATTGGCCTACCATCGGCCTGTCATCGGCCTGTCATTGGCCTACCATTGGCCTACCATAGACCTGCCATTGGTCTACCATTGGCCTGCCATCGGCCTGTCATTGGCCTACCATTGGCCTACTATTGGCCTGTCATTGGCCTAACGTTGGCCTACCATCGGCCTGCCATTTGCCTACCATAGGCCTGCCATTGGCCTACCATCGGCCTGTCATCGGCCTGTCATTGGCCTGTCATTGGCCTGTCATTGGCCTGCCATTGGCCTGTCATTGGCCTACCATTGGCCTGTCATTTGCCTACCATTGGCCTACCCTCGGCCTGCCATTGGCCTACCATAGGCCTGTCATTGGCCTACGATTGGCCTACCATAGGCCTGACATTAGTCTACCATCGGCCTACCAGAGGCCTGCCATTGGCCTACCTTCGCCTGCCATTAGTCTACCATCGGCCTACCATAGGCCTATTACTGCTTTTCGTCCTTCTTAGGACGTTATTTTTTGTTATTTGAAGCCCCACTCTGGCTTTTGCCAGGGGCCGCAATATAGGCAGGTCATCATTATGGCCAAATGTCTGAACGCGGTTTCTGGGACCTCTCCACGTTGATCCTCATCCGCATGGTGGCACTTTGTGTCATCGGGTGTTTATCGCTTGTGTGATGTCCTGGTGGGGTAAACAATCCAATCCAATCCTACCATAGGCCTGCCATCATCAGTGTATAATTACTACTGGTCAAGGGCGCCTGACCTAGAAAAAACCTAAGAATAATTGAGGACACCCCTTCCCTACCACAATTCTTTTTCCTAAAAACAACAAAAAAAGAGGGCGGGAGCGAGGATGAAGGAAGTAAATTTGAGATCGAAGCCCATCCGACGCTCCTTCCCTTAAAAAAATTGTCAACTTTTACCCGCGGGGTTATTGATACATTTCATATTATACGTATCATTTTGATTTGAGTCATTTAACACATAATTATAATAATTCTTTTCATTTAAAACAAGGCTTTGTTTGGCACCTCGAGTCACATTTATAGAAAATTTATAACTGCACTATATCCTTTCTAATGGTTGTGTAATGTTACCATTTTTATATTTAGTATACAAAATAAAGACATTGGACTAGATGAATATTTTCTTCCACAGCAAAAATATGTGAAATATAGCCAATGATGCAAAAAAAGTAAAATTAAACAGTCAAATAATTCATTTTCATATATTTTTTTCTGGTGGAAGAGGGGGGGGGGGACATTTAATATTTTTTGTTTTATTGAGACACCATTAGTGATCATCGTGTTGCAGTTGCCAAGCATAATGTTACTAATGGCATCTTGCGGGCCGCTCTCTGTGATCTGTTGGTTGTCATAATGGGATGTTGTTGGATTAGTTTGCCCGAACCAATTATAATAACTAAACGCTGATCAATGCAAGCATTACTCTGCAACCTGATAATATATGCTGAGATAATAAATACTTGCCGCGTCATCATTGGAGCAGTCAACGTTAGACGGCCAGTCGCATACTTCCAGGTGGGTGTTGAAGTACAGCCCACTGGGACATGTAAACAGGAACGGCTTCAAGTGGGCACACTGGTAGAACTTGGTGCATTCCTCAGGGTGGGCAATAAACTTCACCTGTGTATTATGTAAGGTATGTTTGGATAAGATAGTGTTGAGATATGTCGCTTGGAAATGAAAGCTCTTCATATTAAATCTTCTTCTTCTTCTTTACTTCCTCTTCCATCACTACGGGTGTCGAGGGAGCAATAAGGTCCTGCATCGTGCTCTTCTGGCTGCTTTGACCATCGACACATCGTGGTGCTGTAGAGTTTCTCTAAAGTTATCTTTCCATTTGTTCTTGGTCTACCTCTTGCTCTACATCCCTCTCCTCTTTTGGTATATGCCTTGTGTGGAATAGCATCAGAAGGAATTCTCTCCAGCTGTCCCAATATTCTTGATATTAAAAACCGTTTAAAAATAGAGTTTTCTGGAAATGTTATATTCTTTTCCGTTCACATGTCTCCATGAGTGACCAAAATGTTTGCCAAAGATCAGACAAAAAGAGCAGTGCTGTACGCACGAACTTCGTACCATGCGGACAATCTAAATATAGAGCAAGTAAACGATTAATTGCCACCTCTGAAAACGTAATAAGTAAATGATTTTAGCTTTGTATTTTATAGGGGTGTCACACGCCAGACGCTGGAGTTCATACTTAGGGGATGATCTGAGCATCTATGGACATGTTCAGAGTGCAATGATACCCCAACTAATTAACTAACATCAGGGTTATGTGTAAGAACAAGTGTTAGAGTTAAATGTTGGTTACGTGTTAAAATACTTATACAAGACATAAGCGGAACTACAACCCTGACACATGCAGTCACATAAAACAGTTCCATACTTACACCGTATGAACACGTGACGTCAGCAGTGTCTAGGGAAGTGTATGAGTCTTTGGAGGATCCCACGTCGTTGATGCCATCACGCCTGTATTCTTTTTTACCTCCGCTTTCACTATCTTCTCCGACGTCAGAGTCGCCTTTGTAGTCACTGCCATAATCTGTCCCCCAGTTTTTATCCTTGACTTTGCCATTATTATCTGTGTTGTATTGCTTCTCCTCTTTACCATCGCTGTAATCCTCAGTTTTCTCCTCAGAATACTTGGCGTTTCTGATATTTTCTCTGTTGTTTCCCATACTGGAAGTCTTGGAGTAATATTCCTTGTTACTGATATCTCTGGACGTCTCTGTATGTTTGCCACGGTAGTGCTTACTCGACAAGTACTTATCCCCTTCGGAATTTATGTTAACAATTTTTTTGTCCAGCTCTGAATAAACTGCAGTGACAACTGCGAACAGACAAATGGAAAACTTCTTGCATTGATACAAAACAACATGCAGCCAGCTCTTAGACAAAATAAGCTTAGTTATCGCTTTCTTCTAATTATTGGATAATACTCAGATTCTGTCGAAGGCGTCGAGGAAGAGAACTGATCACCCACCCAGAATATGTGAAGGTCTAACATGTCCCCCACCCCACGGAACTAACAGCCATGGAACTGTTTACCTCAGAACAAGGGCAGAAAAGGCAAAACCGTTACATACAACCAGCTCAGCTCCCATTTAGCCAGTGACATAATGCACCACCAGCTTTGGTGGCCATACAAATTCATTAGTGTCGCTTTTATAGTTAGTCATAAAGGACCGTTTACATGTCAGTGGTGCATTGGACGTATTCCTATGGACATATGAATTAATATTCCATGGGTGACATTACCAAAACCCCACCAGCAGCTTTTACTTCTCGTGATATTTACATAGTATCCATTTTCGTCTGGTCTACCAAAGAGCCGATACAGATTTTAGCCCAAAACCTTTGGTCGGCAGGCCAGTGTCTTCTTATTTGTATTTCTTTAAAAACTAGAAGATAACTGTCAACGTATATTTCACACCTGTTTCTTTATTATTATTATTATTATTATTATTATTATTATTATTATTATTATTATTATTATTATTATTATTGATTTGTTTGATTTAAGAACCGACATCACAGCACTCGAGGCATTCCCATAAGCTCTCCGTCTCCATTTACAGCAGCCAGTGAAGAGTTCTGATACTAATGGTGCCAGTAGCATTCTGATTAAACGTCCGTCTTGCCTTTCCTCTGAGCTTCAAGCATCTGCCAGAACCTCTCGTCACTCCCCTATGCATCTATCTCACCAGAGTGTGGTGATCCATCTGCTCCTCCCAACTGTATACGCTCTCCCACAAGGCACTAACCACGTCTGCCTTATCACGTATCAGTATTCCACCAAGTTGTGCAGCGCCAGCCAGTCTGTCCGCCTGTTCATTTCCCAACACACCGGCGTTCCCCTGTAAAAAGGTCCAGACAAATCCTCACCCGTGTCCTCCGCAGAGAATCATGTCACTCTGCAGAAAGCACACCTGTTCTAATCTACCTCAGCATGCTTTCTGAGTCAGTTACAATCACGATGTGTGTGTGTGTCGTGTTCTCTAGCCAGCGGAAAGCTGCAGTGACCGCCTCCACCTCCATTCTTAAGCTGGATGTTGTGGTATCACACGCTAGGCTCTCCTGCACTAAACGTCGACCAATAACTTTTGCTAAGAAGCCCCAAGCAATTCTTTTGCCTCTTGACACTGAACCGTCTGTGTAAATGATCAAATCCTCTGAGCGAGCATTATCTTGAATTAATTGCAGAATTTCCACCTCTGTGGCACCTGCTGGCCAGTCTCTGCATTCCCGGATCAGCGTAATTATGACTCTACACAAGTCTGACTGTTCAGGTGGCACTTTGACCCACTCTTTTTCCCACATAATGTTCTAAAGGATGCAAATCTGTTTGATTGTGTCTTCTGCCTGAGCCATCCATGACCTCCCTCTTATCAGCCGCTAACCCTTAACTGCACCCAGAGCTTCATGCAGAGGGTGGTCTGTGTCTGCAGCTATCCTGAGATATGACCTTGCCTGCAGCACCTTGTGCGTACCTGCAACCGTCAGCAAACCAAGGATGTATACTGCGGTGTCTCTGGTGCAACCCAGAATGACCCGCATAGCAGCGTTCTGAATGCGCTCTAGTTTGTCCATCTGACTCTTTGAGACGGTAAGCATTCCCAGGCCATAATCAACCACTGACAGGATCAGGTGCTGAAATAGTGTAAAAAGCATTCTCTGCTCTATGTCAATTGCAGCCATAGTCTTAAGTGCACTAAGTCCATTTTGGCATCTTGTCACAACACTCTCCACATGGTCCTTAAATGACAGGCTCCTGTCAAATGTAATTCCCAGATATCTCAGTTTGCTCTCTCTGTTGACGTTCCTACCATCTATCGTGAGACTTGGGAAATTAGCTTTAACGATTATGTTGTCCAGAGAACACCACAAAACAGACGCCTTTTCCGGGTGGACGCAGCCCTCATTGCATTACACCACTCAGTCACTTTGTCTACTGTCGCTTGTAGCTCCAGGGCTGTTTGTTCCCTCTCTTCCCCCTGCCTATATACAAGTATATCATCCGCAAAAGTCAGTATCCTTCCAACTCCTGGTGCTTCTAGGCTTGCAATTTTGCTCGTATACATGTTAAAGAGCACAGGCGAGATAGCGGATCTATGTGGCAGTCCTGTGGCAGTGTATTATTATTATTGTATTATTATTATTATTATTATTATTATTATTATTATTATTATTATTATTATTATTATTATTATTACATCATCCCCATCTTGGATTGCGACCTGAAGGTTTGAAAGCGAAAGACCCAATACAAATGTCAATCCAACAGGAGCAAACACAGGATAACCGATCTCCTGCTACTGCCAACTGCCAAAGTCTGTCAGAAAAACGTCTGTCTGATGAACCATCGATCCATTTATCACTCTGGCCGTGAAGGTAGACGATTAATTAACTACCACAACGACGATAGATATCACCACATCCTCAGTACCTATTGCAAATCACCATAACGTTTTGTCCCATTGTCTGATCAGAGCAGCAGAAGTCTGAAGCATGGGCGCCACGACCAGGGTCTTACCCCCCTCCCTCCCCCGACCCAAGATTTTCTAGGGAGGTAAACGGGCCAAATCAGTTGTTGAAGGGGGACACCTACTGAAGATCGCTAGACTCCTGCTGTGCAGGCTACCGATGTAGAGTTATTCGAAGTTTTACGAAGACAGGCAGGCAATGGCTACAAACGGTCACCTGCGTAAGTAAAGAGGGCTCAAGCCAGCTTTACTTTTCACTTGTCGTCAACATAAAGAATTGTACAGATGATGGTCTTAGATACAAGACATGTATTATAAATATTTAATATAAGCCAGACTAGTTTTTAAGGGAAGACATTACTATCATTGCTCAAGAAAGACAAGAGTGTCAAAACGATCTGTCAGCTAATAGCAATTAAGTATTTCGTCCAACTTGAAATAAAATGTTCTCATCAAGAGCCGTTGACCTGGGCTTCTTCAGAAAAATATTAAACACACCCTGCCTTCTGGGAACTTTGCCTTCCACAAGTGATTGACAAAACCGTTGCAGTGTTTCATCAGTTTCCGATAGATTATGCTATTTATAAGCCAGTTTGTTACCCTAGTGTTAATGGGCGTCAATATATTTTGTTTCTTTTCTTGATTTAAGATATTCTGAGAAATGTTTGTTCTGTTATATTTAGGTTCCAAATGCCTTATTATATGCTTTAGTGGTCAGTGATTCCAATTCCAATTCCTTCTAGGGGGAAAAAAAGAACTTGTTTAACCTGTTATGTGTAGCAAAACCACCAAAAGTCTCCGGTTATATTTGTTGTTTGGTTCATTTTGCCACTTGCGTAGATAAGATAGGGGTATGTGCCCCAGCTCTCTGCCTTGAAGCCCCTAACCTAATTAATATACCGCCTCTTCCGTTCTTTTTCCCTTGTCCTAATATTCCTGATGTTTTTCTTTCTGGGTCATCCTGTGTCTGGTTCTGTCTCCTTAGTATCTTGCTTTTGTGTCCTCTAATGTGTACCCGACTCTTTTCCTTATTTTAGTCAGTAACAGTAAAAAGTAAAGGACCCTTTCCACGCCTTCAGGCGTATAGGGCATATAGGGCTAGACCTATATTTTTATAGACAAGTCGGCACAAGATGGGTGATGTGGTCAGCATCACACCGGCCGCCTTTACTTTACCGGGACTGCACCCGGTACCCACTCAAGGCTTGGTCGACCTGGGAGACAAGGTCATTTTTGGAAAAAGTCTGGCTCCACCAGGGAGCGAACCCACGACCTTTCGATCCGCGACGAGCGTCTAGCCGCTGGGCCACGGTGACTCCCATTTTAGTCAGGCTTATCTCATAAGTGACCAAGTTAGGTTCGCACCTATTCCTTACCTAACCTCGTTTCGGACCACCGATTTTAGCTTTACAATTTTGAGTTATTTATCTTACCAAAAGTACTGACAACAATTTTTGGGTCTGAATAGTTCCGAAATTGTAAAAATATTTCGCAAGTGACCATAGCGGTCTCATAGATGTCTTCGTGTAATAAGAGCGGGTTAGTGATAGTGGTCAGTGATATGCATTACTATGTTGTTGTGTTTTGATAACACAAGGTTGTCACAAACCATCACATACACTGTTTGACAGGTACGGTTCTGACTTCTACTGTCTAGGTGAGTTCCTTAGTGATATCTTCTCTGTTGCAGTCTGGTAAAACCTGCAAATTCACATGGTTTATTTGATGTGCAGAGATAAACTCATTGCTTATGAAAACATAACAATTCGTGCAGCTTCCTAAGGTATAATCATACACACATAATAAATATAATTTAAATCGTTTATATCGGCAAGTAATGTGTAAAAACACCTGCACACAAGACAACAGCAATAACAACAACAAAACCACCGTAGAGCAGCAACATTGAACAGGCTAAAGGATATAGCAAGCAACAGTACTAGAAGACGTGTATTTTTTTAGAAAGAGCGGGGAATTTAGATAAGTAAAACTACAGCAAATATTATTAATTATATAATCTGTAATTTTTTATTTTTGTCTTACCGGCACCAATGATACAGGCAAACAAAATGCGACTGCCGTCCATTCTCTGTCAGGACTTTTGAAAACGAACAGCTGAAATGGGTGAAATCTTTAAAGCTATTTCATATACAGAAACATATCCTGAAGAACCAGCATGATCTGCTCAAATCTGCAAGTATCACAGACAAGACATGAAGAAGTCACAGTGACCAAATTTGTTTACTTGAGTTTAAATACTAGTCCTAACGGAGACCAGAGGTCGACTTCCTGTTGGTGCAACACTGCTGGCCACAAATAGACTGTTAGAGGTAGGAGTTTAATCCCTGGGGAAGGTCGGGCAGTCATGAGGCAGGGAAGTAACAAGGTTGTGTCGTCTCTTGACTGCGACATGTTGAATGTAGAGAGGTCGTGTTTCTGTTTTCTCTATATACCACACATTCTCTCTCTCTCTCTCTATATATATATAAATATATATATATATATATATATATATATATATATATATATATATATATATATATATAAGCTTATGTCTGTTTGCCTCTCTCTCTATCTCGCTTTTTTTTTCTTTGCTTTTGTGTGCCTGTCTCTTTTTTCTTCTTTTCTCTTATTCTCTGTTCTAAATCTCTGACTGTTCCTGTATGTCTGCCTATCTGTCTGTCTGTTTATATCTATCTGTCTGTGTGTCTATCTGTATATATCTATCTGTCTGTCTGTGTGTCTATTTGTATGTCAGTACATACAATGTTTTATATATATTTTTTTTAAAATTTATTTGTTATAAATGCCTGTATTCAAGTATGATAATAACGTGTTACTGTATCTACCGTTAACAGCATTTAGGAAAATTACAGTTTAAAATTTTAGTTAGCTGGACCCTGGAACAGATTAATTTAATTTCTATTAATTTCAGTGGGAAAATGTTGCGTTGGAGCTCGAAAAAATATGTTATTCGAACGCAATCTCCAAACGAATAATAATTGAAATTCGACGTGCCACAGAACACATACATACTGCGAAATTAGTACCTACACACATTACAAAAGTAATACACATGCATTCTAGGAAGCGGTTGGGCGAACCGTTAACAACGCTGGGACCTTAAGTACAAAGCCAGGTTTAAATCCTTGGTAAGGTAGGGGAAATTATTTCTTTTACAAAAATCCTCAAGTTTAAAGGTAAAAATAAAATAAAAATGTAAAATAGGCAGTAAAAGCAGCACTGAAACATGACGATAACTGACGTGCATCTCTCTGTTCAACTAGGTTTGCACATAACGATAACTGTCGCGGCATCTCAAATTTAACTAGGTTTGCACATGACGATAACTGTCGTGGCATCTTTCTTTTTAACTAGGTTTGCACATGATGAAAACTGTCACGGCTTCTCTCTTTTTAACTAGGTTTGCACATGACGATAACTGTCGTGGCATCTTTCTTTTTAACTCGGTTTGCACATGACGTTAACTGTCGTGGCATCTCTCTGTTAAACTAGGTTTGCACATGACGATAACTGTTGTAGCATCTTTCTTTTTAACTAGGTTTGCACATGACGATAACTGTCGTGGCATCTTTCTTTTTAACTAGGTTTGCACATGATGAAAACTGTCACGGCTTCTCTCTTTTTAACTCGGTTTGCACATGACGATAACTGTCGTGGCATCTTTCTTTTTAACTCGGTTTGCACATGACGATAACTGTCGCGGTATCTCTCTGTTTAACTAGGTTTGCTCATGACGTTAACTGTCACGGCATCTCTCTGTTAAACTAGGTTTGCACATGACGATAACTGTTGTGGCATCTTTCTTTTTAACTAGTTTTGCACATGACGAAAACTGTCATGATGTCTCTCTTTTTAACTAGGTTTGCACATGACGATAACTGTCGCGGGGTCTCTCTTTTTAACTAGGTTTGCACATAACGATAACTGTCGCGGAGTCTCTCTTTTTAACTAGGTTTCCACATGACGATAACTGTCACGGTGTCTCTCTTATTAACAAGGTTAGCACATGATGATAAGTGTCGCGGTGTCTCTCTTTGTAACTAGGTTTGCACATGACGATAACTGTCGTGGCATCTCTCTGTTTATCTAAGTTTGTACGTGACAATAACTATCGCGGCATCTCTCTGTTCAACTAGGTTTGCACATGACGATAACTGTCATGGCATCTCTATGTTCAACTAGGTTTGCACAGTTTTTGCTCGTGTGGTCTTGAAGAGACTGCAGTTCTAGCAGACAATATATATTTAGAATCATAGAGTATGTTTAGAGGCCAAAGATTCACAGTAGATATGATCTTCTCCATCAGGCAGCTAAAGAAAAGTTCGAGGAGCAATAGAAGTCACTGCTTATTGCTTTAATGGATTTCACTAAGGGTTTTGATAATGTTACCAGACACACCCTGTTCAAGAACCTTGCTAAATACAGTTGCCTATTCATACTACTGTGTTTCATTGAATCTTTCATTGAATATATGAAAGGAACCGTCATATATGAAGATTCGTCATCGTCACCCTTTCAGATTCGTAATGGTGTAAAGCAGGGATGCGTTCTAGTTCCCATAATGTTTGGCATCTTCCTCACTGTATTGCTTTGGCATTCTTTTAGGACAGCCACTGAAGGGATTTATTTCTGCCGAAGCCAGTGGTCAACTTATTCAAGCTGTTCAGGCTTAGTGGAAGGACTAAGGTCCAGAGGAAAGGGGGAGGGGAAAAGAGATTGGGTGCCAGGTATTGCAGGTATTGTTAGTACTTCTGGTTGTGGGAATCAGTCATGCCCTTTTCAAGACAGCTCACCTGCTTTAGGCCAAACAAGATCTCATCGCCACCATCGTGTGCCGTGTCGACAGATATAGCCAGGCACGTTTCGCCATCTTTTACGATGTTCTTGTCCAGCCCTATCCATGCGTCTGAGCCATCCATGAATATCTGTCTTTACTGTCCCCCAATCTCTCTTTAAAATAATGTTGCCATTCGTCACTAAGCGCTCAAGTCTACTCCTTTTCCCAACAAGTTCGAAAAACACCGACTATCTTGAGTTTCATTTCTCTAATCAGTTTACGGCTGTTGTCTGTCGAGACATGCACTGTCTGGTTAGCTGTCTATTAATTCATGATATCACTTACATATTTCTCAGAAGGCTGCAAGTTCGTGTTTTTTTTTTTTTTTTCTTTAGTCTGTGACCATGTTTACCATACCTGAACAGCATAGGTGCTGTATAACAGTTTAATTTTGTTTTCCTTTAGTGCAACTGATATTTAGTTTGTAAGTATCTTTTGCTCCTTTCTAATGTCATTTTATCCATGGCGATTTTTGTTTTAACTGTGCAAGGCATCTTGCATCGGATGTTATGACTGTGTCAAGTGGGTTAATCGATTTAAAATTACGGTATTTCTTTCTTCTTGTGTGAAAATCTATATATATAAAAATCAATGTTTGTTTGTGAGCAATAGACTGGAAAACTACTGAACCGATTTAGCTGAAATTTTCAGGATATGTTTGTTTTGATACCGGAATTTTACCCGTCATGGTTTGAAATTCTGCCTGTCATTGTTAGAGATAGGGGACGACATTTGTTGTGAAAATCTTCGAAACTAATATTTCCATTTTTAGTGACATTTAATTATAGCCACGTTAGTAAATGCGCATGGGCTATCGACTTTCACAGTGCATGCGCAGTAGACACGGGACCCTCCATTTTTTACATCCGCCCGTACAGCAAACTAGACTATCTTTGTATCGCTAATTGCGACGTTAACCATATTAGACACGATTTCTGTTTTCTTTCTTTTCAAACAACTTTCGATGAGTTAGAGAGTAGTCGGTGGATTTGAGAAAGGGGAAGAGAAGGGGGGTGATCTATGTCTGCGCAGACAATCATTGCGACATTTATCGTGTTAGACACGTTCAATTTCTTTTATTGTGCCGTTTCAATAATACTTGAAGTTTATATCTGGGATATCTGTTTATGAGAAAATAATTGCCTGCGGTTTTGAGTTGTGTTAGAATCGGGACACACATGTTGCGTATTTTTGTTCTCTTTTTGTTGTTCAGAAGCATTGGTTAGCTGGCCAAATGGTTAGTACATTGAGTTCCCGTGCGGGAGACTAGGGTTCAAATCCCCAGTACGGCAGTTTCCTTTTTTTACCCGGGGCAAAATAATACCCAGACCTGCTCTTTCGTGGCGACAGCACTAGCCATGTGGCCATAAATACTATTTAAAAAAATTTAGGTATGTGGGTAAACCAGTTGATAATTAAATTTGACCTGTTCGCATACTTATGATTTCATTTCAAACTTTCCGATTGCATGATTACGCTGAATTTTCATAGATTTCCATTTATTTTCATTTCGATTTAATTATTTCTTCTGACATTGCGTTGGAATTAGGCTGTGTTGTTTATCATAGCATTCATTTCGTAATTATGGTGTATTTTTCCTGTTTTCGTTGCATTTCACTTTTTTTTTTTTTTTTTTTTTTTTTTTTTTTTTTTTTTTCAAACTACTTTGATGAAGAAAAGAATAGTCGGTGAATTGGGAGGGGTGGGGGAGGTTAGCATAAACTGGTAACTGAAAGAGCTTTAAGTCAAAGTAGCTGCCTTACCCACTAAAAGTAGCAGTAGTAGTAGTTGTGATTGGGCTGTTACACCGTATTGCTGTCATGCAGGAGACCCCCGGTAAGGTTATGACATTTTTCTGTCGGAGAGCGAAATTACACATCCTAACCTGACCAGTCCGTGCCGACAGCATTAGCCTTGCTGCGACAAATCCTCTGGCTCACGACTCCCTGTCTACTCCGACGGTAAAACAGATAGAAGTGACATTATTTTAGTTATTGTAGTGGCGGTGGTGGTAGTAGTTGTACTGGTACTTGAAGGATAGTGTGGTAAATATTACACTAGCCGCATCTACTGCTCATTACAACTCCTGCTCCCTATTTTAGTCCGCATGGACAGGGGTGTCAACGTCAGTTACAAAAAATATCGTCGGGTGATAACTTTCAAATCCTTCGATGAGGCAGAGAGCAGTATTCGGTGGCTGGGGGAGGGGAGGGCGTGATGACAGA